TCAGTTGCTTGAATCTATAAATTTTGCCTTTTGTCAAATTTGGGAAGTTTGTAGTCATTATTTCTTTGAACAGTTGTTCAGCCTTGCATTCTTGCTCCTCTCCTGCGATTCTGATGATACATATGTTAGATCTTTTGTTATTGTCCCATGGGTTTGAAGATATATTTTTTCCTTGTAGACCATTTTTTCCTCTGTTGTTCAGATTGAATAAATCCTATTGATCTGTCCCCAACTTCACTGATTCTGTCCTCTGTTATCTGCAGTCTGCTGCTAAGCCCATATAAGGTTTTAATTATTGTATTTTTCATATCAACAATTAACATTTGGTTCTTTTTATGTAACTTCTATTTCTTTGCTGAGGGTTTTAGTTTTCATTTGTTTCAAGAGAATTCATAATTGCTTGTTAAAAGTACTTTTATGATGGCTGCTTTAAAATTCTAATTTTGTACTTTAGCATGCAATCATCCTGTTTATATTGTTTATATTTAGTCTACAGGTTATGACTGTAGTTCTGATGACAATTTGGTTTCTAGAGTCCTTGCAATGCAATTATGGCCTATTGTGTTCTGGTTCTGCTAAGGTTCTAACTAATCCCTTTTGGTACTGCCTGAAAGGGCTGTAGGGACTTACCTGGGCCACCCAGTGTCAGCACATAGGGGCTGAGTGATGCTGGAACCATAGACTAGACACAGCTTCCTCTGGACTGCTCTCTGGCTGCCTGGGACAGGCAGACCTCCTATTTGATCTCTGCTGGGGTTGCTGGGAGCAGGAAACACCTACCTTGGGGGCTTTCTCCTGCTAAGGGGAAGGAAGTAGAGGTTTTGAAACCTACGAAAGTCTCCTGCCACGGGGTAGAGGATTACAAGACACCAGGGCTATAGAAGCCACTGGTGCTGTTACCTGGTAGGGGACAGGGGACAGGCCTCCCTGCAGTTGCTGGTGATGTGGGTGGATCGGGCCTACAGCTTCTGCTGAGTGTGGAGTGGACAACAGGAAGGCCCTTATGGGCTGCACTGACACTGTACCTGCAGGCAGACTGAGCCCACTATTGGGGATGGGTAGTGAAATAGGGCTCACCACTAGGTCTTTGCTGGTTTTTTTTCTTTCTTGCTTTTTTGGCAATAGAGAACAGATTTTATTTGTTTTCTTTTTTTTTTTTTTTTCAGTCTATGCTTGTTATTAATTCCAGGTTACAGGCCTCTCTAGTGCCCAGCCAGGGATATGCAGGAGACAAAAAGAAAACCCAGGGGATGGGTGCAGTGGCTCACGCCTGTAATACCAGTACTTTGGGAGGTTAAGCAAGGAGGATCACTTGAGGTCAAGAGGTCGAGGCCAGACTGGGCAACAGAGCAAGACCCTATCTCTACCATTAATCAATCAATCAACTGATCAATCCCAGGGAATTCACTGCACTGTCATTCCTCAAGTCCTGAGATCCCTACCAGGTTTGCCTTCTTTCTACCTCATATTCTTTTATGGAATTATCTTCCATTATTTCCAGAGTATTTAGTTGTATTTATAGGGAAGGAGCAGAAAACAATGAGTTGATACCATCTTGTCTTGGTAGGAGGTTTTCTTAATGAAGAGCACTTTGTACTTTTTGATGTTTGAACCATATGTACTGAGAGTCAAAAACTGAGCATTTTTATAGTTTTAAAATGTAATGGGAAAAAACCATAGCCAACAACTGCGCAAATTTGGTAACGCATTTGTTCTACAGCAAGCTCAAAGAAGATCTTATTTGTGTAACTAGCTGCCATTGGACCCAGACCCGATAAATATTTTTCAATAAGTTCAGCATTTTCAGTAAACAACATGAATACTTCATAAAGTTGCATTGTCTATGATATAGGCATGCAGTAACTCAACCTGTACAAATAAATGTAACTGCACATAAGCAGAAACTGCTTTCTCTCTCCCAGATGGTAGCTCTCAACAAACTCCCTCCCTTGTCTCATGTATATATCAGGCAACTTCTTTTTTGTTGTTTGTTCTGAGACCTGATCTTGGTCTATCTCCCGGGCTGGAGCACAGTGGCACGATCTTGGTTCACTGTAGCCTCGTCCTTTTGGGCTTGAGCGATCCTCCCACCTCAGCCTCCCAAGTAGTTGGGACTATAGGTACGTGCTGCCATGCCCACCTGAGTTTTGTATTTTTTCTTAGAGATGGGTTTTTTGCCATGTTGCCCAGGCTGGTTTCAAACTCCTGGTTTCAAGTAATCTGCCTGCCAAGGCCTCCCAAAGTGCTGAGATTACAGGCATGAGCCACCAAACCCAGCTATCAGGCAATTTCTAGAGACCACAATCTACATATCCCCAGAGTTTCACAAAAGAATGTGTGAAGTGGGCCAGGCGCGGTGGCTCACACCTGTAATCCCAGCACTTTGGGAGGCCAAGGCAGGCGGATCACGAAGTCAGGAGATCCAGACCGTCCTGGCTAACACGGTGAAATCCCGTCTCTACTAAAAATACAAAATAAAAATTAGCTGGGCGTGGTGGCGGGTGCCTATAGTCCCAGCTACTTGGGAGGCTGAGGCCAAGGAATGGCATGAACCCAACAGGCGGAGCTTGCAGTAAGCGGAGATCGTGCCACTGCACTCCAGTCTGGGCGACAAAGCGAGACTCCATCTCAAAAAAACAAAACAAAACAAAACAAAAGTGTGTGAAGTGGAACTCATTAACTCCTTCACTGAACTGTGCTCTTCTGTTGGGTCTTTCTATTACCTATACTACCACCAGCTGGGAAAACCAGCCTCACATCACAGCATGACTGTCAATTCCTTTTTCTCACACACCACCCACATTCCAGTTTCACTTTATCTTCACCTGTTATATTTCCCCTCTCATGTCCTCAGTGTTTCATCTACCACTACCTGAATCAAATTTCCCTAACAGGATTGTCTGCCTTCAACTCTTGGTCTTCCAGTTCATCACACTTACTGACAGCAAGTCAGTCTACCTAAAGCTGACCTGGAGCTACCTTATCTGCTGTCATAGGCAGTCACCACAGTTTCAGAACATGGTAGTAAGCTTTAAACTTTTCAGTGGGACATTTGAAGCTTAGCAAGACTGGATTCCAAACAACTTTCTAGAATTTTCTCCCATTATTTCTTGCCACATATGTAAAGATGGCTTTGGAATATTTCCTTAACCTATCCTCTCTTCTCTAGAGAAGCCTCAAGATGAATGAAGCGGGTGGGTCTAAATGACTCAGATTGGTTAAGAAGGCTATGGGACCTGGTATACAGTTGACTGGACCAAGCTGAGCCAATAAGATATAATTATTCACTCACTGTCAGTACAGACAAAGACATGGAAATTACAGTCATGCAACATTGGAACCCTGACATATATGGTGGTAACAAAGCTGGCCACGGAGCTCAAACCATGGCAACTCAATGCTATTCTGTCCTGGGCAGAAAGAGTCACAAGGGAAGCAAAAAGAGATGACAGAGGAAATACAGATTTTTAAAGGGAAGAGAATGGAGCACATGTGCAGGGAGAAGCAGAGGTCCCAAGAGAGATATACACAATGGTGGCAGCCTGGCCACATTTCCTGACTAGATGCCCTGAGATTCCTCCATTGTTCTTTTACCTAACATGAGCTGTCTAGGCTTCATACCTTTGCTTATATGAGTTCCCTTGCCTGGAAGGCTTTCCCTCTGCATTGTTTGACATGCCAGGGTTCCAAGGCCCACCTCAAATGTGACTTCCTCCAAAATGTTTTCACGATTCACAACCCTCCCACTGCCTCTTAGCCCTCCAACTGGATCGAAAGTTACTTGAGGATAAGGACAATTTCCAGTGCCTAGACAGTGAATGCAAATGGTAGGCATGTTAAATGAAACAATCTTCATATGAAAGTTGCTTGAGGATAAGGACAATTTCCAGCTCCTAGATAGTGAATGCAAATGGTAGGCATGTTAAATGAAACAATCTTCATATAAAAGTTTTACCTACAGAGTGGTTAACAGAGTCAGCATTTAAACTTTTATCAGGGTGAATGGATCGGTGGATTTGTCAGTCATCTGAAATTTTTTTCTATTAGCACAAACTTCTATTAGTGTGAATTAGAAAGAACTTGTTCTGAAACAAAGTCTTCACTCATGATCACCTAGAAGGTATGTGGTACTGAACAAAGCACCTGGGGATCAAGAAAAAGATGACAAAGTCCTGTCCAGGAGGAGCTTACAGTTCTGTCACAGCTAGAAGGAAGCAACAGCATGGGACACCTGAATGCTTGTGATCCTGGAGTCCTAAGAAATCAAAGAGGAACTATTAAACTTCTCTGCCTCCATAAAAAAACATGTTTTTTATCTCCATAAAAAAACATGTTTTTAGGCTGGGCACGGTGGCTCAAGCCTGTAATCCCAGCACTTTGGGAGGCCGAGACAGGCGCATCACGAGGTCAGGAGATCGAGACCATCCTGGCTAACACGGTGAAACCCCGTCTCTACTAAAAAAAAATACAAAAAACTAGCCGGGCGAGGTGGCAGGCGCCTGTAGTCCCAGCTACTCGGGAGGCTGAGGCAGGAGAATGGCGTAAACCCGGGAGGTGGAGCTTGCAGTGAGCTGAGATCCGGCCACTGCACTCCAGCCTGGGCGACAGAGCAGACTCCGTCTCAAAAAAAAAAAAACAAAAACAAAAACATGTTTTTTATCTCCATAAAAAAACAAAAACCCAAAACATCTGTATGTCTTCTACTTACCACTCCTCTAGAAAAAACCATTTCTTACTTTCAAAGAAAAAAAGTAAAATTTTATAAAAATGTACTGAGAGTAATAAATATTAGAGAAAACAGGTCCCAGGAAACAAGACTATTTTTTTTTAAACAAGCAAAACACATGTTTTAAATCCCCATTTACAAGCTCCTGAATTATGGCCCTTTGTGCTCAAACTGGACTCAGAAAAACGCAAGCTTTTTCAGACCACCACAGTAAGAGCTGTGGGGGGATGGGAGATGGGGAAGAAAAGGGCCAGGAAGAAAGACACAAAAGGCAGTCACAAAGACCGCAACATTTAGCTGTTTATTAGGTTGTAAGTCTCTCCTCCTCTCCCCGTTTTCTCTTTCTTCTTTTTCTCCCCACAAATCCTCTCAAAACACACACAAAAAGAGAACACTAGAAGCAAGATTGGGTCAAACATGAAGAACACAGAAAGAATATTAAACAGCTAGCTTTAAAGGGTTCTTTTTCAGTTTGAACAAAAGTAAAACGTTCTCAAAAGCAAAACAGAAAACAGAGCTTCCACCCAGATCGTGCAACTTAATGAGAGGAGGTTAGTGCTGATAAACCCATTGTGAATCTATACAAAGTGACAGATTTTCAAGCAAGGAAATCAATCATTTGCGATTGGAGGATTTAGAGCTCAGGAATCATCTGGTTCAAACCAACCGGGAGCTGAGGGCTGGGTGGATGGGGGATGGGTTGGACAGGGTGACATGAGGTCAAGAAAGGGGCTCTAGTTTTTATGCCCACCATTCTCTGACCCCATTCCACCCCGAACCCACCTACTCAATTCACACTATCTGTCATGCTAGTAAGACATTCGGCTTGACCCTGCAAGATTCACTTTGTTCTCTTTCTTGCCTCACTCCCAGCAAGCCTCTAACACAAGGGAATTAAGCTTTCCCCAGGCAGTCACAGAACCAGGCTGTAAAAAGCTGCTTAGTGCTCTGCTGGTAATCTGTCACTTTGGTTCCTTCCTTGCTGTCTGCTTGTTCCCAATGGAGGCAAAATTTAGAAACATACCATCACGTGGGGGCTCTTCACACAGAAACGATGGAGTGCTCTGGGTTGCAGTGACCTCAATTTCTTTCTTCCCTGCCAGAGCTGTCTGTCCTGGCTGTTTCTCTCCTCGCTGGCAGACCTGGGAGCATGAATCAATTCTAGTTTCACTAATATCTTCCTGCCCTTTTTCCTTGCTGCTTCCTTCAGGAATCTGCTCCAGCTTACTATGGAGATACAATCCAGCAGTGCCGAGTTCCTTTTTCCCAGAGTTGCTGCTGCTGTTGCTGAAGTGGGCCAATTCTTCTCTCTTCTTGGCCACTGGTTCCTCGCAGATGAAAGGAGGTATCTCTTTAGTAGACACGATGGGCAGTTTCCCAGGGCTCAATTTGTAGCTAGCTGTCTGTTCCTCACCCACAGTCATGGAGCGCTTCATAGCAGGAGCTCCCAGTTTCCCAGGCATAGGACTAGACATTGGGCTACTAGGGGGAGGCAGCAGGCCAGAAGGCGGCTCTTCTCGGGCAGGGAGTTCAGGGTACTTATCTGCAAGGTTGACAGCTGGGGGAACTGAGAGGTGAGAACATTCAGACAGGGCCCTGCGCACTGTCTTCTTCTGCTGGGGGGCTTGGTTGAGCACAGCTTCCTCCTCGGTAGAACTCAATTTCTCCAACTCTTTATCATGGTCTCTGATGTGAGAGCTTGCATTCAAATGTTCCTGGGTGAACACCATAGTGATTGGCGGAATGGTGGTGGGTGAATGCTCAATAATGGGGGCTGGGTGGGCTACAGACACCAGGAGTGGGGACTCACATTTCAGCTGCTCAGAGTTATTTACCACCCCAATCACTGGGCAGCCAGGGATGATGCTATTCTTCATCTCTCCCGGAGTTGCTTCCCTTGAGCCCAGAGGGCCTTGAGCCACTGGATGAAAGTTGGGGTTCCAAACACTGGTTTCCTGCTCCTTAGCATACCTGGTAGGGACGTCAGCAGCCCCAGGGAAATCCAGATCTGACTGGCTCTTGGTCTCTAGTCCATTCTTCCCTGCCACCTTCCCCTGAACTGGAATGGTTTTGTTTTTGTCTGGCCCCTCTATGAGTCCCAGATGGAACTCGGAGGTCTTCTGGTGTACCGAGTTCCCCTCCAAGGGATGGTAGGTCTCTGAAATCACATACCTGCTCTCAAGGTGACCCGAGGCTGCTTGATAGTCCGTGTCCTGCACTTCAATGCTGAGCTCTTTGTCTAGCTTCCCCTCAAAAAAGCAGAGCTTATTCTGCTCCAGGAAGCTGGCATTCTTCACAAGCCCATCTTTCGGTTGCCCGTCCATGCTGACATTCAGCCCAATTTCATTCAGTTTGCCCTCTGTCCTCTGCCATTCGAATCCGGCTTGACTGATTTCTTTTGGGGAGTCCATTCGGCACTCCGCAGGCTTGCTCTTACTGAGCTGACCGTACGCGGCAGTGAGAGAGGCTGTCTGCTTGTCTGAGAGCGACATCGTCTCTTCCACTGCTCTCCCTGCTTTCGCTCCTGGAGCTCTAATACCACCTACGATCACACAGAGCTTGCAGTGACATCACACCGATTCCCCAGTATTCATGACAAAATTCACCTCTCCCTCAATGCCCCTCTCTCCTCAAGCAGTTGGGTATTAAATGTACTTACAAATGTGAAAGAAAGAAAGGAAGGAAGGAAGAATGAATGAAAGAGAAAGAAAGAACCTGCTGCTTTCTGCACAATGAAATGCTACTGTTAATCTGAGAATGTAATTTCCTGTGAACTAGCACTCTGTTTAGATCTGCAATTTAAAACACGGTACGGTGCCAATCCAAGCACTAAGGATAGTAATTATTTTGGCTTTCACTGATATAGATATGTGTATACCCACACACTCTCTTATCTGATATCATGCCCACCCTTCCACATTCACCCACTCAGAAAACTGTTTTAAAAATAACCGAGACTCATTTGCCAATCCCCAGCTATAACCCCCGAAGAAGAATCCAGGAAATTGTTCAAAATTGGACTTAAAAAAAAAAAAAAACCCCACACCTTAACATAGTATTAAAATTACAGGCATTCAGTCTCAGAGGAAGAGTGGGTTTGCTGTCATTGCAACTCATCAAATTCACTTGAAAGCTGACTTGAGTGGGGTCCCTAAAACCCAGAAGAGCTCCATCCATAGCTCTGCATAATGGAAGAGTTTAATAAAGGGTTCATTTAAAGACTTCAGTGATCAGGGCTTTGGGGATAGGTATTCTAATTATAAGAAATTTGTGTGACAACAAATGCCTGATGCATTTACGCCTGTCCCTGCCCCCACTTGGTTCCTTGGATGAGGCTGGGTTGCTCCCTCCACTACCAGCTACCAGCCCTGCTCTTTCCAGCCTAATGATCTGTTAGGTGTCATGTGAACACACTGGGGGCAGTTCATCTTTCTCTGACCTCCAGACTTAGGGACTCTTACAATTGTAGCTTGGAGTTTTCCCCACCCACCAGAGCCTACTGCCATTTAACTCAGCATGGTCCTTTGCTGCCCTGGGCTTTGAGCTCACAAATTATATATTCAAGCTGAAGGACCCATAAAACAAAATTGTGGGAAAAAAATTATACTGTAAGAACAGGCCATGCTCTTACTTTGAACAAAGCTGATTTTTCTTGTCTAGCTGTAAGTTACTGTCTTGCACTAACATAGCATATTGGAAATATTCTATCAGAAATCCAAGAGAAGTCTTTTTCCAAGATGAAGAAAAGATTTAGATTGCTTTTTTTTTTTTTTTTAAAAAAAGGCCATTTGCCATAAACTGCAATGATTTGATTACAGTTTTTAAATGCCTTTGGAAAAAAGGGCAAATTAAGACTGTTCTTTGGTCTATAAAATGTAAAGAAATTACCAAGGTCCGCACAGGAAAGCTTGCTAAACTGTAGCCTCTGTCCCCAATAACTCACCTTCTCTATTCATACCACTCAAGTTCCCAACAAGAGTGCAGGGATCAACCATATATCCTTTTTGCATTACCTTTAGTACCTGACACAGGGCTACATTCATGATCATGAGTGGCAACGTTGCAATGCTGAAAAAAAATATAAATTTCCATTTACCTCTGTCCTGAACATGAACTGAGCCTCATATACATTTCTTCCCCTTGATCTTGACCTGTTTAGTAGCAATACATGACACAGCACAATACAGATTAATTGGCAAGGAACCTGGTTTCTATACTCTATGGCAAAGATGTTGCTGAGGAAAAGGAAGTGAGGTATAACAAAATGAAGAATGCCAGGAGAATCATGATTCTAATTAGTAACAAGAAAAAATATGAGGCAAGATTGGATACAGAAAGCCCGTGGTAACAGAACACGGCTGAATTATTGCTTTCTTATCTTTTTTATACATATAATTGAATAATCTAATTAAGTATGTACAATATGTGATGAAAATTATGAAAGTCTGGAGGTGGCTGGGTGCCATGGCCCACACCTGTAATCCCAGCACTTTGGGAGGCTGAGGTGGGCAGAATGCTTGAGCCCAGGAGTCTGAGACCAGCCTGGGCAGCATGGCAAAACCCTGTCTCTACAAAAAGTACAAAAAATTAGGTGGGCATGGTGACACAAAATTGTGGTCCCAGCTACTCAGAAGGCTGAGGTGGGAGAATTGCCTGGGCCCAGTAAGTCAAGGCTGCAGTGGGCCGTGATCACATCACTGCACTCCAGCCTGGGTGAGAGGAAACCCTGTCCAAAAAAAAAAAGGTCTAGGGGTGGGGAAGATATTGTTGCAATACAGTGCGAATATGCCAGAGGAAAACTCTGGAAAATACCTTAGAAATCAGGTAAGCTTCAACAACCCCATTCTCTCAAAACTAGTCACCCCCTACAAATGACACACACGTATACATCCTCAATTTACTGACATGGTGGGGAAAAAATTAATTTGGCTTTGAGTCAGAAGGCCAGATTTTAAAATCTGTGTCACTTAATAGTTAAAGAGTCTTAGAAATTCATTTAACTGCTCTTAGCTTCAGTTTCTTCCTCTATAAAAGGAGGGGAATCTTTAAGGTGCTCTCGGATTCCGTTTTACCACTTTCACATCTGAAGTTGAAACAGACATTCAAGGAATCACAGGCCTGCTGCTATGTCCAACTCACAATGTGATTTCAACTTGGGGCTCCACTAGGCAGTACATTCAGTAACCTTTCTGTCTCATGCGAGGGTGCAGCCTATTGGCAGAGGCATGACTGGGTGTGGTGGATGCTGCAGCATGTCTGAAGAAAGTGGTAGTTGGCCCTTATATTCTGAAGAAGCGGAAAATACCAAGGCAAAGAACAAGCATAGAAACTTGTTCCTTATAGCCAAGTTATTTTTAGTTCTGGCTAGCCTACCCAGACCCACTTCACCAGATCCTCCCTGCCCAACAGCTAAGGCAATAAGTAAAATTACAGGTCTCTGCTACCTTCAGATATCACATATTCTGCCTCAGTAATTCTATCCACAAACAGCAGACTGCAAAATGTGAACCAGCCAAAAGACCAAGAGCAGAAACCAGAAGAATGAAGCTAGCCAGGCACAAAGGAGTGCATATTCCAGACTACAGTTCATACTGTGTAGATCAGAAATGTGGTCAACCTGAAAAAATATAATTATGAGGTCCACATCTAGCAACTAGGCCAAGCACTGGCTTCATAGTTACAAGGCTCAGGAGACAGAGAGTTGAAAGAGGCAATCTGGGGAGGGGGGCGGTCAGGGCCAAGAAGTTCAAGCCCATAGAAGGGGCGAGTACCCAAGACATCATGCCAGCCAGATGCTCAGGCATACAGATAAGCTTGGTGGTCACCCAGGGGTCTGAGTACAACAAAACACATAGCTGTGAGAATTGAGGGAATATATATAAAAAGCATTTGACAAAGTAGTTAAAACACAGAAATACATAATGTATCTACTGATGCTAGCTTTAAAAAAACAACCAAGAAGGCCAGGCACGGTGGCTCACGCCTGTAATCCCAGTTCTTTGGGAGGCCGAGGCAGGCGGATTGCCTGAGGTTGGGAGTTCAAGACCAGCCTGAACAACATGGAGAAACTCCGTGTCTACTAAAAATATAAAATTAGCTGGGCGTGGTGGCGTATGCCTGTAACCCCAGCTACTCGGGAGGCTGAGGCAGGAGAACCTGGGAGGCGGAGGTTGCAGTGAGTGGAGATCATGCCACTGTACTCCAGCCTGGGCAACAAGAGTGAAACTCCATCTCCAAACAAACCAAAAAACAACCAAGAAACTGTACATATGTATATGAAGTAGGTTTTCCTACTCTCTACAGGGAATCTGATGTGTAGTAGTAATAACAACAACAACAACAAAGAACAACAAAAGAAAGAAAGCCTAAGTCCCTGGACTGGAGAACTGCTACATTCTGATAAAGATAGACAAAAACAAAACAAAACAACCACTACTACTCACAAGAAACAACATATGAATCGTAACTGCAATCACTAACTGATAAGAGAAAAAGAAAAGCTAAATTTCAAAATCTGGGGCACTGCCTAAGGAAAGGAAATAACCTATTCCCTGAATCCCTTTTAGGACAAGGGTCCATTATATCCATCAACAGTACTGCAAAGACACTAAAGTATGTGTGACAGTACAGTCAGAATGCTGGGGCTTCCCTAACAGATCCCTCATTTTACAGAGGAATAAAATGGGGTCCAGAGAAAAAAAGTGGTTTGCCCATGATCAAATGGTGAAAACTTAATGGAAAAGCCACAAAGAAGATGCTAGGTTTCTGACTGCCAGTCTTCCCAAACCGCTGAGCAAAAATTAATCTTAGTCACTAGATGACTCTCCTTTTCGATGTATCTTTTTTTTTTTTTTCCGGCTAACTACAACCTCTGCCTCCCAGGCTCAAGTGATTCTACTGCCTCCTCAGCTTCCGGAGTAGCTGGGATTACAGGCCAGCACCACCATGCCCAATTAATTTTTGTATTTTTAGTAGAGACAGGGTTTCACGACAGGGCTCAAGGCCAGGCTGGTCTTGAACTTCTGACCTCAGGTGATCTGCCCAACTCGGCCTCCCGAAGTGCTGGGATTACAGCTGTGGGCAGTGCTGCCCGCCCAATCTATCTTTTTTTGTGATAATTGAAGTACTTCAAACTTTAATTTGGAATTATAATTTAGCTCTTTTGTGATCAATTCAAAACTCCCAAATTAATACACAGTATGCATACACATGTGTATGTGTGTGTATTTAGGGGAGCAAAAGCGAGTTTGAAATAAGGGAGAAAAAGAAGCAATGCACTTAGTTTCAGTGTTTACCTTATATCTTAAGAACGGGCTTGTTTTAGGCTGGGCGCGGTGGCTCACGCCTGTAATCCCAGCACTTTGGGAGGCCGAGGCAGGGGGATCATGAGATCAGGAGTTCAAGACCAGCCTGGCCAATGTGGTGAAACCCCATCTCTACTAAAAAAAGATACAAAAATTTAGCCGGGCGTGGTGGCAGGCACATGTAATCCCAGCTACTAGGGAGCCTGAGGCAGGAGAATCGCTTGAACCCGGGAGGTGGAGGTTGCAGTCAAACGAGATCCCACCACTGCACTCCAGCCCGGGCGACAAAGTGAGACTCTGTATCACACACACACAAAAAATGGTCTTGTTTGTATTATGCAAAGAGTGAGTAAGGTGTGGGTGACTTATTCCTTAGCAAACTTCTGTTTCTAATTTCCAGTCTTAAAATAACTTAGATTTAATATCTTTCTATAGTGCCTTAGCACTGTGAGTTTCCTTTCAGGTGGCTTCTGAGTAGGAAGACAGGTTCAGCCTCACTAAGAAAAAGCAAAGAACCAGAGGCTTTTACAGAGGGGAAGGGACAGAGTAGTTTATAGTTTGATTACACTATTGCTTTTGCAAGGCATACAAAGATATTAACTGGAAGAATAATTAATGGCTTTGTTGCACCCCAAAGGAGGTGAATGCCACCTGGATGACAAATGATGGCGAAAGCCTAGTATAGAATAATTAGTAAAACTCAAGAAAGGCTGGGCATAGTGGCCCACGCCTGTAATACCAGCACTTTAGAAGGGTTAGGTGGGAGGATCACTTGAGGCCAAGAGTTCAAGACCAGCCTGGGCAACATAGCAGGACCCACATCTATACAAAAAAAATTAAAAAAAAAATTTTTTTTTTAGCCAGGTGTGGTGGTGCATGCCCGTAGTACTAGCTACTTGGGAGGCTGAGGAAGGAGGATCACTTAAACCCAAGAGTTTGAGGCTGCAGTGAGTGAACTATGATCACGCCACTGCACTCCAGCCTGAGTGAGAGACCTTGTCTAAAAAAAAAAAAAAAAAAAAAACAAAAACGAAAACAAAAAACACCCCACAAAACATCCTGAGAATGGCCAGTTCAGTACTCCAGTCCAAATAAGAATCAGACATAATCTCACTCAGGGATGCAGATTTATCCACAGGAAATAGCCACAGCAAGAAACTCCAATCTCCCAGCTGCTGTAAAATTATATCAAGTTGGTGGATGAGGTAAACACATGAAGTTTGAAAAGGGTGAGCCTGCCTAGGTAAAAAGAAACACACTTAAGAACCAGAAGGACTAAATTCTAGATTCAGCTGCCACTGGGATCCCTTGTCTCTAGATTCTTCCTCCCCAGGAGCTGGGATTACAGGTGTCCACCATCACCACGCCCAGCTAATTTTTGTATTTTTAGTATACATAGGGTTTCACTATGTTGGCCAGGCTGATCTCAAACTCCTGACCTCAGGTGA